ACATCAAATGTTTCATTGTTTGGGAATTGAGGATACTAATTGTTAAAGTTTTGCAAGCTAAATTTTTGTCCAGTCTCACTTAATAAAAGACTTCAGAAGCTCAGCAGTCTGTGATTGTCGTTGTCTTGATACAAGACTTCAGAAGCTCAGCAGTCTGTGATTGTCGTTGTCTGATTCTCCTTTTCATGACTGGTCATACATTTTCAATAGGAGTCAGATCTGGACTGATCTAACACATTCACTCTGTCTCTACGAAACCACGCTGGTGTAGCACATGCAGAATGAGAGCTGGCATGGTCTTGATCTAATAACCATGGACTTCCCATGAAAGACATCATCTTGATGGCAGTATATATATATCTCTGTACAATCCCAATATATGCCTCCATGTCAATAGTACCTTTGCACATATTCCAGTCACCCATGGTGCTCTGCTGCACCCCCATACCATGACAGACGTTTGCTTTTGCTTCTGTCGCTGATGAAAGTATGGATAGTCCCTTTGGTCTTTGGGACTGAGAACTCGAAATCCATTTTTCTCAGAAACCCATTGAAATGTGGACTCATCTGAGCACAGCACACATTTTTACTGTGTTTTTGACTATCTGAGATGAGCTCTGGCCCAGAGAACCCGCCGGCATCGCTGCATAGAACTGATGTATAGCTTTCTCCTCGAGTAACAGAGATTCAAGTTGCATTTCTTGATGCAGCAGCAGACTGTGGTAAATGACAGTGGTTTTCTGAAGTACTCCTGAGCCCATGTGGCTATATTTAACACTGCAGTATGATGGATTCTTATGCAATCTGAGGGCTCATTCACCTGAGCTTTCCTGCCTTGCCCTACATGTACTGTGATTTCTCTGGATTCCCTGAATCTTTTCACAATATTACGTATGGTAGTTGGTGAAAGACCTACATTCTTTGTGATTTTGCATTGTGAAATATGATTTTTTAAATTTCTTTGACACTTCTCTCATGAAATTTGGCACAAAGTGATAAGCCATGATCCAGCTTTGCTCGCAAAGAGTAAGATGCTACTTTTAAACCCAAACATGATACCAATTGACCTGCTTACTGTGAACTGTTTCAAAACAGTTTAACGTGGATATTCTATAACCTTTTCACTTTTATTTTGCCTCTGTCCCAACTTTTTTGGAGTGTGTTGCAGCCATCCACATCAAAATTTGTTCATATTTAAAAAAAATACATTTACGTTGGTCAGTGAAAACTTTGGAAATCTTTTCTTTGTACTTTTGTCAATTAAATAAAAGTTAAAGAGACAAATCACAGATTCTTGATTTTATTGCATTTTACAGAATGTCCCAACTTTTTTTGGAATTGGGGTTGTATTGTTAGCTGCTGATATAGACAGATTATTCCTTACACGCAGGTGCAGAACACATGCTAGTTTGCAGTCGGCTGTAGTCTGTGCGGTTTGTTCAAGCACAGCTTTCTGGTCCAAATCCAGCCGACACAAGGTGACAACACAGTCTGCTTTTGCTAGTTCTTCAATATCTGACATCAAGCAATCTATTGGTTTTTCCATCTGGAAATTCTGACTTAGAAATTCTGAATAAATGAATGTTAATAATCTCAGTTTCTAAATTATATAAGGTCTTTCGTGCATATTTACGTTGAAAATTGTGGTTGCAATGTGCATATATTAAACATCTGAAAATCATATCTCTGTGTGACTACATTAATGGGGAAATGAGAATGAAAGGCAGTTGTTATCAGGGCTTTGACTGACAGCCATTTCTCCTAACTACAGCCAGATGCCAATTACAGGGAAATGAGCTGATAAGGCAATAAACCCTGATGAGCTACAACATCAAACTAGGACAGATTCACTTTTCTAAAGGGAAAAGTTCATGCCTTGAAATAAATGGAGTGTAATAAATCATGTAGCCTATAGCGCATTTTCCTGAAAACAATCTAACCTCCACCACACATTTCTTTGACCTAGTCACCTACTGTTGTACTTCTGTCTCTGTAGTGCTGTCCAGTAGAATCGCTTTGTTTCAGCATCCCAACACAGTTTACACTTCTGTTTATTGAGTGTTAAGAGGCAGAAGTTTATATTACTATATCACTGTGAAAACAATACAGGATTCACTTTTTTGGTATTTAATAGAGGCTTATTTTGAACTTCTTGTACATACAGGCACTGTATAATGCAGCGCATGCTGTAATTATGTAATTAATTAAACACAACTTTGACTGACTCGCCTTACCAATTGGCAGTAAGGCGATTTTTTTGTTTGGTTATTTATTTATTTATTTTGCACGTGTTTGATGATGATACAAATATACAAAATCATTTGATTTCTTTTTACTGCAATGAAGTACAAAATCAGAAGACAATATAAACAACATCAAAAACAAGAGCTGGGTGTTTTTTAAAGGGATTGTAAGGATGAAGGACTTATTGGCATATGTTTATTTAATTATTGATATAGAGGGGCAGTATTGCTCTGCCAGATTATAGATTGACTGCAGGGAAAATCCTCAAGTTCTTAAAGGAATAGTTGAATAGAAATTATATTATCCTTTACTAACTCGTGTCTTTCCAAACCTTTATGGCTTTTTTCTTCAGTAAAACACAACAGTTAAGCAGACTGTCCAAGCGGCTCTTTTCCGTACATCAAATACTGTATAATGAACTGTAAATGTCCAAAAGGAACATAAAAGCACCAGTTATGCTCAGATTTGGAGTTATATTCCAAATCTTATGAATTTTTATGAAGTAACAGGCAAAATATGGAAATCTTACCTTTCACTATAGCTCTCAAATCTTGTGCAGCCTTGAATCTGGTGCATCAAAATCAAATGGAAGTCTTTTTTTTTTTGGGCATAGTGCTTTTCACATTACACTACTTGCTTTATACTATTATCACTGTCACTGTTAAACAATGTATATAAACAGTGGGGTTTAAAGTTTAAGGGTTATATCACCCACCCTCAAGCAGTTAATCTTAAAAGTTAGTAGAAAGTCATGTTATAGTACATAAAAACATAATACATAGTACATATTACAAAATATCTTTAGTCCTCTAGTGTGCAATCCAAATGTGACCCTGGAGCACAAAAGCAGTCTTAAGTCGCTGGGGTATATTTGTAGCAATAGCCAACAATACATTGTATGGGTCAAAATGATCAATTTTTCATCTATGCCAAACATCATTAGGATATTAAGTAAAGGTCATCAGTCCTCCGATTCTTCTTTCTCAGAACCTGTTTATGTTTGTATTTGTGGGATTAGAAGCCATTGTGTTTTGGCGACCTTTTTTAGGATGTGTGTGCTCCTGTGTTTCATTAGTAGGGAGGACACTCACGGTAAGTGTTTGGGCTTTCACTATGCAGAAGCTGTGCTTAATGTTGAACTGCTTGCGAACTTGCCTTCTTTTCAAGAAAAAGGAGGAGGGTCAATGATCCCTTGTCTTTCTGGTTCACATGAGCAGGGGTCGTTGGGAATCCTATGTGGAGCTGGAAGCTATAGAGAGTGACCCAGCGGGCACCTTGATATATTCTTACTCCTCTTTCATCCTCCAGATCTCTAAGATCTTCTGACAGGGTTTTTTTTTAGCTGTTCCTCATTCACGTTTAAAAACAAAGGGTGATAGGAAATCAACAGCCACTGGACATCCACCTTGCACCTTCTATTACAACTTTTAAAACGATGTTGAAAACATATCTTTACTCCCAGGCATTCTAATTGGATTTTAGCTCTGTTTTTATTGTTTTACTGTTTTATGGTTTGTCTTGCTTGTTTTATGTTTTAACCCTTTGATTCTGTTCAGCAATTTGGTCAGCTTTGCTGAGATAAATGTGCTATATAAATAAACTTTACTTACTTACTTACTTGATATCAATTTGATGTCAAATATTAGTCAAGACTTGATCAAGATGCTGTAACATCATTTTAAATTCAGTTTGGATGGCAATTTCTTCCAGTGGTAATTGGGTGAAAATAGGAAGTTCATCCAACACTGAAATTGGTTTAATGTATATGTAGGCCAATATGTCTGACATTAAATTTACATCAAATCAATGTCATGTCATTTTTTTCATATTGCATATTGAAAGAGTTTCTCTTCTGCTGGTGGCACCATTCTGGCCATACGGTTCTTGGATATAATATCTCTCCTTCAGGGGTTTCCTTGGGAAATTCAGGTCAGAACCAATCTGCTATCTAAGGCTCGGGGCAGTGTGTGGCATCCTCAGCCAAAGATGTGTAAACTTTGGGTTCATGGCCTTTGAACGGGGCTCTCTTAATTCAATATGGTCTTTCACCTCAGATTATAGAGACCAGTTTGAATGTGAGCGCTCTCTCTACTAGGAACCTGTATGCTTTCAAGTGCCATCTGTTTGCATTCTAGTGCAGGAATCACAACTTAGACCTAGTTTTCTGCCCAGTCTATTCAATATTAAAAGTGTTTTTCTGTGGGTGAAGCCCCAGCCACTCTTTAGGTGCTGTCACATTAGCTAAATTTGGCAGAGCAATGGTAAATATGACCACACCTTTAAAGTGTATCTTCTATTGCTGCTGAACACATACCAGTTGAGAATACATTAGACAAAGATAGCTGAGGCTGAGTTGATCCTGCTCATTTTTCTTCATGGGAATTACATACAGTCTTAGGGTGTAACGTCACTATGGCTTTGAGCTCAAAAGACTTTGAGCATTTAGAGTCGGATTCTGACACTTGAGGTGGTTTTGTTGATGTTTTAACATACCTAAAGCAGATTGGAGATGTACATGCCTTATCAGTACGGATTTTGCTCTCAGTTTAGCTAAGGTCTTGTTGTGCCCTAGAATAGGGTATGTACCTAAGGTCACTTTTGCTTCTTTCCACTTCACCTCCTGGTTGCATAAGTCCAGGTTTCTTTCTGACTGTCCCAATTTGGTCATTCATATCATTCATAAAATAATTACTGCTGCACTGTAATGGAATATCTGGTTCTCTTGGCACTTCCATGTCTGGCCAGTGGCCACTATACTAAAAACCTAGAAAGTACCCTTGAAATACCTCTAAATCGGGAGTTCTCAACTCTTGTCCTCCATTCTCCCTGGTGATGGCGCTGGTGGTGGAGGCCGCGGTGCTGCTGGGTGTGGGCTGGGGCAGAGTTTTCAGAGACAGAGTGGTGGGTCGTGCCGGATTGACCACGGGAAGCGGAGGAGGGCTCGGCTCGCGGGGCAGAGGCGGCTCAGGGCTCTCCAGGGGTGGAGGGAGAGGCGGAAGGGGGTCCGAAAGAGATTCATTGTCCAGGTCAAGAGCAATGTTTGTGTCATCCTGGCTACAAACGCTGGATATATCTGGGTTATATATGGCCTCCTCCACTGCTCTGTCGATATCTGGTTCCCTGAAGCACGGCGACGTGGATGCATTGCCTCCTGTCATTAGAAAAACAAAACAAAATGTATTAGCGACACCCCAGATTGGTGGCAGAGTGTGTGCTACAAAATATTCTGTTGCACACCAGTTGACACTTATATTAAATTTAATTCAACAGAAAGTACCCTTGAAATACCTCTAAATCGGGAGTTCTCAACTCTTCCCTCGAGGTCCACTTTCCTGCAGAGTTTACCTCCAACCTTGATCAAACTCATCTTCCAGTAACTTTCTGGTAATTTCCTGAAGACCTTGAGGAGCTTGTTCAGGTGTGTTTGATTAGGATTGAAGCTAAATTCTGGGGGACAGTGGACCTCGGGGGCCAGAGCTGAGAACTCCTGCTCTAAATTGTTATTCTTCCACCTGTGTTTAATTTTTCAAGATGTTTCTTAAAAGCATGAGTGCGCTAATTGTACTACAGGGTGAGTCTTTTCTCTGTAACCGTTTTTAAACCGAAGAATGCAACACCATCTGAGTGTTGGAGAAGACTATTCATGGTTTCTATCCAAACACAAAGTTCATTAGAACTTTTGGGCACACAGACCACTTGTGAAAGATCTGAAAGAATATCATTGAAGCTTTATTGGTTGAAATAATAATTGTAGTCTGGTATCACTATGCAGGCTGAGTGACCTTGGCTTAACTTATACTATAAGCGAAACGCACGAGAATCAATGTCATCTGCTGTCATTAACGTCACACCTAGTGCAACCAAATTATCAATATTTCTATAAAAGAAAAAGAAATAAAGTTTCAGGTGATTCAAGAGCTTACTTCAGTGCATTACCACAGTCTATGTGGGTGGTGTTGTGTAGCAATTAAGGCTCAGGGCTGGTAAGGTTGCTAGTTCTAGATAGAGGTAGAGATAGAGTCACTACCATTGTGTCCTCGGGCAACCCCAGGCTACTTGGGGTAACTTCACTCTTAAAAATAAAGGTGTGCACACCAGTTGACACTTATATTAAATTTAATTCAACAAGTTATAAATTGGGAATTGTTATAAAATACTAAAGAATGCACAAAAATTGTTGTTTGAGATAAAAAAAAAATCCTTAAACATTTTCATCGTTCCAGCGTGATAGTGTATCATTAGCTTTATAACACACAAAAACATTTGGAATCATGCAATAGGAAAATAATGTAAATCTAGAGCATTTAGTGTACAGAAAGCAGGCAACACTTGATTTTGATAGTCCATTCTAATAACTATAAGTAACTTTGCAACTACATGTCAACTAAATGCCATTAGAGTATTAGTAGACCCTAGGTTAAGGTTGGGTTAGGACTATAGGGATAAAAACTAAGGTGCGCATTCATCTGATGTTAATTTGGACTTAATGTCGCCAACCTCTTGGTGGTTTTTGCCTGGTTCGGGCTAGTCTAGGTTTATGGGCTAGAAACTACTGATCGCTCCGGAGCGATCCTCAATGATGTGGTATATCTTGCTTTAGGAAGGTCTGATTGGAATTAAACTTGTTGTGTATTACACTTGAGATGTTCTTTCAATCCACTTGGGTTCTGACCCAGAATCCCAACTGCATGTTTTGTGTGGTTTTTGCTTGGTTTTCCGTTGGATTTGCTTGTTTTTTGTTTGTTTGTTTTCTACAGCACCTCCATTTGGTTAGTCAAGTCAAGTCAAGTCACCTTTATTTATATAGTGCTTTTAACAATACAGATTGTGTCAAAGCAGCTTTACAGTATTAAATTGGAAAATTAGTGTGTAATAATTAGTGCTGTCAAACTATTAATCGCGATTAATCGCATCCAAAATAAACGTTTTGTTTGCATAATATATGTGTGTGTACTATGTATATTTATTATGTATATATAAATACACACACATGCATGTATATATTTAAGAAAAATTTTATGTTTATATATTAAATATATTTATATATGATATACATATACATGTAAATACAAGTAAATATTTTCAAAATATATGCTGTATGTGTGTGTCTTTATATATACATAAAAAATATACACAGTACACACACATATGTAAACAAAAACTGTTATTTTGGATGCGATTAATCGCGATTAATCGTTTGACAGCAATGCAAAAGGACAACAGTAAACACTCAATTTTCAGCTAAAGTCAGTTCATCTCTGATTGAGTGATGTTATCGTCCAGCTCAGTTCAGTTCAAATAGTATCTGTGCAATCAAGCTGACGATATCGCTGTAATGTAAGTGTTAGTGGTTAGTGAGCATTAGGTTTAGAGTTTGGGTGGTTGTTTTTCAGTTGTATTAGGATTAGACAGCCATACCTGCACCCAAACCTAAACACAACCATTTTTTACCACTTGGCATTTTTGAGTTAGGTTAGTGTTAGCAGAATAACTTGACATGTAATTGCAAAGTTACTAGTCAGTAGAATGTCTGTTGGGGGAGCATCACAATAAAGTGCAGATATTAAGCAGACAGTCTACTAATATTCTAATGACTACTAGTTGACTTGGAGTTGCAAAATTACTCATAGTTAGTAGAATGTCTAAAGTGGACTATCAAAATAGAGTGTAAAAAGCATGTTAAAAGCGAACCACATCACAGACTTAAAGCAAACTTTACTTAAATAATTCCCTACAAATTGGCTTTAGCGCATCAAACTGCATAAATCAGCCAATAGATCAATTCTGGCTGGTGTTTTGGACAGGGTAAACACTGCTCAGGTGATCCTCACATAGGTCCATCTGCTTCTGAGCTTCTCCTGTGGAGACTGAGGGACTTCACACAGAATATCCAATTACATCTCTGTTTTTCTGTTTGCATTTTCAAAGCGTTGGCTCTGCTTTGAAAATGGATTTGGACACTTAAAGGCACAATATGTAATTTTCGCCGCTAGAGGGCTCATACTAGATACATTTAGTTTTGTTATAATGCTACTCTGTGCGGTCGTCACCGGTCTATTAAAACGCACAACATATTAAAGCATCTTTGGTGTTTCCATGTTTTCTTCAAAACAAATCTGGAAATCGAGGGGTTATGGACACTATGACACTATGGACACGGTCTGTGTCACTAGTTAAAATTGCTTATTTCTCTGGATTTAAACATTCTTCGAAACATTTGGGATAATGTAAGTACACAAGTCAGCAAAATATATAACACTGTTCTAGTGGTTTTTGGATATTTTAATAAAAAATCTCACATATTGTGCCTTCAAGTCACTTGATGTCATTGCATTAGATACAAAATATCAAAATGAATGTCATCTGTGCTTTCTCAGAACTAACACATTTTTGCAATGACTTCTAATCAACTGGTGTTTTGGTGAGTTTTAGTGGATGTATGAAGGCAGTTCTCCTCAACTTCACGCAGATGTTGTTCATTACATTAACTATGAACACTAATTCTTCACTAGCACAAAGTGCTAATACTGGTCTTATTTCTAACCTTATATCTATTATTTTTATAATTTTGTTTCAAATTGTTTTTTCACATGTTGTGAAATATTTTACTTGACAAATGTGCTTGTGCTACTTTCTTTAAAATGACACATGCTTTGATATTTTGTTATCTAATGCAGTGACTTTTTTTCTTACCCTAAACCAGTTAAGTGCTCCAGCACCAATTCTCAAGATTGGTCATGTCAGTGCTGATTGCCTCCCTAACCTTAAACTTTTTTAGTATATGCTAAATATACAGTACTGTGCAAAAGTCTTAGGCCACTAGTATTTTCGCCAGCTGAAAAAATGGTTTTAAGTCGGTTATTTCTATCTTTTGCTGTAGTGTGTCAGTAGGAAATATCAGTTTACATTTCCAAACATTCATTTTGCCATTAATTGTAATAATCCAGTGAGATTTTTGTCTGACAGCAGCCAGTGCTCCACAGAGAGATCTGGGCCCGTATTCACAAAACATTTATCTTACCACTAAGAGTTCTCCTAAATAGCTAAGAGTTTTCTCTTAAAACCTATTCACAAAGCTGCTGAGACAAACTTTTACTGAGGAACAGAGAGAAGAAGCTCAGAGTAAGGGGGCGGGGTCAAGCTTGTTGCTATGGATGATGTCAGCATGCTTATTAACTATGCACACAGTGATTGGCTGATAGTCTCTGTCAGAGATTTATTCGTAGAAATATTATAGAGCGCAATATTATGTTGCCATATTCAAATAAAGATTTAAAAATAAAAATGTTAATTGCCACATTCAAATAAAGATTTTAAAATGCAGGCTAAGTGTCACTAATTAAACAATATAATATATATGTATATGTTCAGATAATTGTCAGCCTGTATGCTTCTTGTAAAAAAAAAAGTTAGTGAATATGCATATAAACAGCCTTTTAATTAACAGAGTAGAATAACCAGTATCATTTAATTAATTAATTATTAATAATAATAAAACATTAAAGGGATAGTTCACCCAAAAATTTTTATTCTGTCATAATGTACTCTCATGTCGTTTTGTATGAACAAACAATACTGAGATGTTTCTCAAATTATCTTCTTTTATGTTCCGTAGTTTATGTTTGTGCCGTTGTAGCCAAAATGTTTATGTGTAATACATTTTTTTTAATCAAATAAAATGTCTACTTGATACTTTCTCAATTAACACAAAAATATGTTTAAATAATCTTTTGTGGGTATTTTCACAGTCAAATTTATTTTGCGATTAATGAATCGAAACATCATGTAATTAATTACATTAAATCGACTGACAGCCGCAGCAAATTTAGAGTTGGGATAACCTCCAAAACCAAAGGTGATATCTTTATAAAAGCTCAATATCGTCAAATATTTCTAAAATGTTTACGTTCCGACTCGAGGCAGATCGCCGGCAACAGCTATTTTAGGATAGTTTGTGGCTTGGGTTTAGTGACT